CCCTCTGGAGTGCCCACGAGGCTGATGGGATACCTGCAGCTAGCTGGGGACACGGTTTGCAGAAGAACTGGCACCCCAGAGATGGGTTTAAAAGTCCCAACTCACAGCTTCACCTGCTTCTGCTCCCTCTGAGTTTTACTCACACTGCCATGTTATGGGGCTGGGAAATGGCAGTGTGGAGAGAAGTCAATAAAAATTCAATTCAGAATCGTAGTCCTCTGCAGCTTCGCAATACAGGGGAATTATTAGCTCATTCAGGGCTGTGACAGTTAATGCAGTACAATAAAAAATTGAATTTACACATATTTACACATTTAAACTAACACAGCCAACAAAAATCCCTGTCTTTTATAAAATCAAGTTGTTACATCGTCCTATTACTTATCTCAAATGTTTACTTTATCGTGTTAAAAGAGCCTAACTTCAGAAACATTTATCAAGAATTGCTAGAACACGCCCTGACAAAGTCACCACTCACTTGAGCCTCCCCAAGCCATTCCTCCTGCCCCTCATCTGCTTCCAAGAAGCATTTCTCCCAACTCCCTGCAGGTTGCTGCCGTCATTTCCTGGGACTGTCTGAGGACCTGAACTGGTGATTTAAAGGAAAAACGGGGGAAAGTAATTTCCTGAATTCTCTGCTAGCTGCACTGCTGCAGGAGGATGGTTTCAGGCTCTGATTCCATTAGAAAAACGTAGCAGATCTAATCACAAGCTAAAAATCGGATGAGGCTCTGAGTACCTGCACAGTCTCAAAGTAACAACTGGATTTGGGTTCTGCCTTTTTTGTGCCCCTCTTGCTATGACGGCATTTAGTGCGTTTTCCCTTTCTTGTCTTTCAAACGAGGATCTGTTGATTGCGAGTCATGACACCACAGCTTACTGTTCCAGACAGAACAGAGACAAACTGAGTCTGAACTCTTCCCATCTGCGATCTCCTCTGCTCGCCACTGTATTAAAAATTCTGGAATGTGTCTTCTCTGCTGCATGAGATTAAAGCAAATAACGACCCTTCCCCCATAACTCCTAACTCATCTGTAGTGTTGTTATTTAAACTCAACAGTTGCCAGTCTCCAAGGCCAGAGTTATTCTCTGTGTTTAAAGCAGGAAGTAACGAAGCCCGCCCCAGGCAAACTGAGCACCGCCCGTAACCACCAGGCCCTCTTCCAGCCTGCCACGGGTAACCACTCCGGCCCTCCCTGCTATCACTTCGAACAACGTCCATTCTACCTGAACAATTCGCAACTCTGCACAGTGAAATTCCTTTCTAATCCCACCAGGGCAAGCAGCAGGCATATGGAATCATTTCTAAGTATCTTAACAGGACAGTGTAACTCTGCAGGGTGCTGTTTCTGAACACTGGATGTCACACCATGGAGCAACTGGTCCCAAAGTCAAAGCACGGGGCCTTGCTGATGGCACACCAAAAAGCAGATGTTAGCACCTGGGAACACACACCTGCCTCCAATCCAATTCCCGTCTCCCCCTAGTAACCTTCGGTCACAGCGGGGATGGCAGTGAGATGGAATAACCCTGCTGGGCAGGAGTTGAAGAGGAGGACTGCTGTTGGCCTTCTTCCCACACGAGAAGGGCTGACCCTCTGCACAGCATACTCCAACATCGGAGTGCATGCTGTGCTAACTTCACTGCGACCCATGGGCTCCGAGAAGCTGTTGTCCCATTTTCCAGACTGAGGATGATGGGCAAGAACACTACGCTCACCTTGCTACAAAAAGGAAGTTCTTCCTAAGCCACTTTAACTTCTCTGAATGACAGATTCAACCACCTGATCCATATTTTGAACAACTGCATAGTTAAAAAGGGGACTGCCCCCTCGCTTACGAGCGACTGCAGTACCCTCAGTAGTGGTTCTGACAACCGTCTACACAAACAGCATCCACGATTATTTTTTTGAACCAACATATGCTTAGTCCCGCAGAGAAGTGACAGAATTGCTGCAGCAATCTCAGTTCTGTTTAGGATGTTTGTATCTCATTTCTTCGCAGAAAGGAGGGAAGGTATTTTTTCCTCTATTGATGGGAATTATTCCATTTTTCCTACTTTTGTGTCATTTTCTCCGCAGCTTATCATACCTGACGACCAATGACGTGCTTCCACATCAAAAACACTGTGCTAGAAACGCCTCTGGTGTATTCTTGCTGCTTCTTTTTTTTAATACAAAGTATACAAGACTGATATTGTTAAATGGCTTTTCATATTTTTTTAGACTCCTGCAATCAACATGAAGCAAAAGGGCACTTTTCAGGGGATTTTCAATTTGCATCACCCCTCTTTCTTGTGCTGCATCCTCGCGACACTGTGCATACGCAGCGCAGAATCTCTGCAACAGACGTGCTGAGTGTAAACGCAAACCAATCCATCCACAGTAAAATAAGAGAGCGCTCTGCAGAAAACCAAGAGGGCATGCTTCCTGTGATACTCCTGCAGTATCTCGTAGGGAGGGCTGGCGAAGACAGCCGTACCTTACCGGTATCTATTTATGTTTAACCCTAAGAGGACAGCACGTTTCCGTACCTTACAACCCCCAGCAGAGCAGAACATTGACTCTACTCACACGCTATGCGGACAGATGCCTTCCGACTCTTTGAGGTCCCTAGATGGCTCCACGCAACACACTGACACCAGTAATCTTCTGGCCCATGAAAATCTTCCACCTGCTGCCTGGTCACGTTGATGAACACCTCTCGAACTTTCAGTCCTGAAGGGGAAAGCACAGAAAATGAGCTGATACAGGCATCTTGGGCATAAAGCTAAGGTTAGCCAAACCTTTTCTTTTAATTAAGCAATTTCATTTTTAATCAAGGCAAAGTTTTAATTACTTTGACAATAGTATATCGCCAGTAATTAAATTCTAAAAGCTGAGTAGGTCATAATGCATTGAGCTATGAGAATTACCCACCCACTGTGGTCTTTGTAAGAATATTACACCTCCCTCAGAAACCTTGTTTCTTGAACCTTTTTCTCCCCGAATGTTTATCTGGAATTTTACAATATAATGCACAATAAAAGTGTCTTCCGAAAGCTCGTTGCCCTTGAAAACCTTTCTGAAGTACCCTGGCAGGCCCAATCAAGTCGAACAGCCAGAAGGACGCATGTATGGCAGGAATTAACCAAATGTCCAGCCTGTCCCAGACACTAGTACCGCAGTTCCATCCAGCAGCCGTCTCCTCGGATGGGAGAGAAAAGCTGTGTCTTACATAGAGACAACTAAGCTCAAGCCATCACAGCCTGGAAGAAGGAGAAAAGAGAGATGGGAAAAAACTTCCCAGCTCACAAATGGAGACAGCTCTCTGCCCACCATCCTGGGAAGCAAGTGAACAGCTACAGAACTGAAGTCCTGCCTTCCTTATCACAAACAAGTGTTAATATCAAACAGATACCTTGCTTCTTTCATACCGTTTCCCAAAATATAACCTTTCCCAAAACATAAACTCCTCTGCAGGGCGATGCTGTTGCCCACCGCAAATCTGCTCGCTCTCTGCTGAAAGGAATGCACGCCTCCTCCCTGAGGCAGGAAGCCCTTACGCCTCAAGAGCTGAGAAAAGGGTTAAGGGAATAGCCAAGGTCAGCCAGGGGTAAAGATGGGAAAATCCCTGTGCTGTTTCCCAGCCCACGACCATCTTCGTAACCTCCCGGCACAGGTGAAGTTTGGCAGCATTGCCCTTCAGAGCAGAAGCATCTCACTCAAAGCCCGAAGGCAAACACACGACATCAAGGAGCCTTATACACCTGACACGCTACATGTTATACACCTGGGATGTCTGCCCTATCTGCAACTACCTTTGCATGACGACCTGGGGGAGAGGAGATATAACCCAAATCTGGGTTAAAAGACATTAGGAATCGCTGGAAAGAGCCAGTCAGAAAAACATGAATTTGAAAACAGAAAACATCCGTGCCTACTGCTTTCTTCTTTCTCCTCCTGTGCAGTCCCAAGACACTTATTTCCCCTTCACTGGAAATGAATGAAAACTCAGTCTTCAAATATTTCATGCCTGTGAAGTTTATAAAGCAGCAAGAAATTTCTAAACCTGGACTCCATAAAAATTGGCTTCCACTTAATCTCAGGCATCATTAACAGCTGGGTATTTCACTTCTGAAAGGCACGAGGAAGTCAACGTGTCCCTTTGGTAAACAGGAGGGATGAGGCCCACTGGAGAGGCCGGGAAGGTCAGACAAGATTTACACACTATAAAGCAAAACACAGTTTTTGCTCCTTTTCCAGCAACAGGCAAAGGGGATTGTGACTTCTTCTCATTTAGCCTGTTTGGCTTGCCATAAATCACGACAATACCTACAGACACGGACAAGCCTGAGACAGCTTCCAAAGTTGTCTCAATAATGGTTTTAGTCACTCAAATATTTATTCACTCTGTAATAAACAAACAGAGGTTTCCTGGTTGGTTTAGTTTGCATTTTGTTGGGTTTGTTTGCTGTTTCTTTTTAAATATGTTGATGCAGGTTTCAACAAAGCTGTTTACAAAACATCCCGTTATTTCCTGTCACAGTGAAAACAAGCCATTTTGAAGAAGACACGGCACATGGAACTCAGCAGTTCTGTCAGAAACTCCTCTCCTTGCTGACATACCGACTGCAGAGTGCACAAGGAAAGCGCACAACCCCCCTTCAAACATCCGAGCTGCTCTGCCAGCCGTGAATCCCTGGGTTCTCCGTCATACAACCGTTCTGCAGTGATCTTCATAGGTTAAAGAGAAGAGCAGCTACAGCAAGTTCCATGAGAGAGCATCTGAGTCCTGCTGACCTGACACTGCAGGTCTTGACTGGCTGAAGATTTGGCATCCCACCACGCTACAGGACACCAACAGACACGCACGTCCTTGTTCCTTACCTTTGGCAAATCAAGCCGTGTGCGGTCCCTGGACGAGCTCTATCAAAGCTCCAAAGCCTCCAAATCCAAGCTCGTCTGCAGCCATGTCCAACAAGGTTGCAACCCATCAACTTAAAGACTCCTTCGACAAGGGCACAATTAGGTCGGTGACAAACACTGACCTTTCTAAGAGGGCCAGTCTCCCGTCAGGAATCACTCATCCAGCACTAATTAGCTGCCATAGACAGCATACCTGCCTGTTCACACGGTGTTGCTCTGTGTGCTGCTGTGAAGGTGCAGCCTCTTGCTGTACTGACGTGTCTCCAGCTGCCCTCCCATGGCACCACCAGCTTATTCTCACCCGCGCCTGTAAGTAGCCTCTCCCGCAGGAGAGGATGCTCCGTCACCAGCCATTAACCACCGCCTTGCTGGCAGCACTGCCCCCCACCCTCCCAGTTCCGGTGCCCTGTCTTCTGAACTCAATTCCTGAGCTACTCCAGCAATTTTTGGAAGCGGCAAAGAGAAACGAAGGTATGAGGCCTGCATATTGTACAGCTGGCTGGTGCATCCATGCTAACGACAGAATCTGTACTGATACTGAACAAAAAAGGCTTCGCATGACGGTTTTTTGGGAAGCAAAAGCCATTTCTAGGCTCAGTGGTACTGTAAAATTCTGAGCAGTCATCAGCGGACACAGGCGTTTACAGCTTCCGATTTATGAAGGCAGACTATCCTCCAGCCTAGCGCTGGCTTTCACTGGCACATTATTCAATTAATCTGTGTATCAGCCCATATTTTCTGAAACCACGTTTAGTGTGGTTTGAATCAGGCAAACAAACAGCACATCATTTTGAAAAGCTGGCGGGTCAGCATTTCGGGAATGGGACAGGTAGGAATTCAGGTCCTTTTAAAGGTCTCCCAATTCGCCAATAGACAAAATAAACGCATCCAAACCAGCAGAATCACAGAATTTTGAGGTTGGCGGGGGCCTCTGGAGAACATCTACTCTTGGGGGAAAGTCATGTTTGGTTTACGGAGAACGTACACCTATTTTCATTTGTTTTAGAAACAACTACAGAAAGCAAACCTACTGGGAACAGAGGCATACGTTCTTCATTTATCATCACTATATTTCACCCACAAATATATTCACCGACCCTCGACATCTCAAGAAATGCCAGAAAACTTGTTCATAGGAAATGACACAGAACAAATAAAACCAGGCACATAACAAACAAGAGCAACATTTTACCTGTGACTTCTGTAACTCTAATAAGCACTGCGAGTCCAACCCTTTAAATTATTGTGCAAATTATAACCATCATCTTTTGTTACACAGCACAGCCTTACAGAATATAAAATTATGGCTATGGTACTGATATGCTAATAAGCTTTCTGCTCTGTTGGATGGTTTAGCTGCAGATAGACTAATGCTGGCAGCAGATGAATAATTGCTCTCCATGTACTAAACATAACAGAGCTGCACAGAACTTCAGCATTTGTCAGCTTTATTTGTTTAAATGAGAAAAACACTGACAGCAGTTATTGCTGTAATCCTTTTATTTATCAGACAAGAAAACTCTAGTTACTCCTAGCAGGTCTGATCCTCTGGCGAAACCCAAAGTTGAAGTATCTGTAAACCAATTCTGAGGTGCAGGCTGCAGTGTTCAGGCAAGAAAAATGAAGCAGAAGGAAATTAATCAAACCGTAATTATTATATTTTTATCACTGTAGCATCTATTAGCTCAGGCTCTCGCTTTATGAGGCAGAGTACACAGAGCAAAGTTCCTGTTCTGCCACGTTTATGGAATAAAGGGAAAAGGCAGAACATGGATTACCATCTTCTCTGCAACTCGGGAAACGATGCAGGAGAGGGTGAAATAACTTGATCTCTAACCGACCAATTGACTGTGGCAGCGCCGAGATGGGAACCCGCGTCCACCGCAGCTGCAGCTGCTGCTGGCTTGGCCGCACGGCTTTTCTGCACCACCAGCAGCAAATCCACCTCAGGGAGACCTCGGTGCACGCTCCCGGAGCCCCCCGGGACCCCGGCATCCTCAGGCAGCCAGCACGGGGTGCAGCCCCTAACTGCGACATCCTCCCCTGCTGCTCCTTCTCAAATTAACAGGGACTCCTGCGTTACTCGAAGGCGTTCACGTCTGCTGCATAAAACCAGAATCAGGCGAAACTGGATTCCTTGCTCCGCACAGAGACAAAATGCACCCACTGCCCCCAGCAGCTGTCCTTCCTGCCCTCCTGCACCCACGCCATGCAGCGCTGCAGGCAAAGCCCACAGAACACGTGCCCTACGTGCACAGCCACGTTCCTCCTGCTCGCGCCCGGAAGAGCCGGCGGGCAGGAATTTATAGAGATGCGAAGACACAGCTTTGTGTTCGGCTTTAAATTGCCTCTTGTTTGGGTTTCCTGTTGCTATTTTTCACCACTTTTCTATACACCTCAATTTTAATCACGTAACAAAGAGCGGGTGGCAAAGGACAGACCAGGTTGAATGCAGCGTAACCTCCCTTTGGGAGCACACCGGAATGGCGCCCTTCGGCCGGAGGCACCCTTCTTGGCATAAATCCTCGGCAGCTTTTCACAGATGGAGCCCACGCAGTACACAGAGCACCCTGCGTGCTTGGTAACAGGCATGTTTATGCCCCAGATTTGAGTCCAGAAATGAGGGCACTGCCAGTCTGCATATTAATTCTGAATAAACCCAATAGTCTGCTGTTTACTGAAGGCGAAGGAAGAGTTCCAAAATAATTTATAGATATGGGTACATCACGGTGAGAAAATCTCCATGCCTGTCCTTCAACATCACGCTGCGTGTAGCCTTTTCCTCCCTTTTTGTGTCCTAAGGACCATTATGGTAGCTTTTGGAACACACAGACATGCTGCACTGTCTGGGCCACACTTCTGTCTAGAGAACAATACTTTTTCAGTTAGTTCCATCCCTGAGCTACATTCAAACCTGCCACATTTATATTCCACATCCCGTTTGCCTAGCCTATGCCTCCGTGCCTCAAATCTCAATGTTATTGGTGTTCGTTAAAAAAAAAAAATCACCTAATGTTACTTTATCTTTTTTGATTCTGTTATTAATCCAAGGCTTAGAAAACATAATTGCAGTATTCACCAGACAGATTTTCATTAACCATATGGAAGAAAAACATTTAGGGACGACATTTCTTCTATATTGATTCAGCAATGCCTTGAAAAGTAAAGGTTATGCCTATTAAATTATTTTTTGAAAAGGTAACTGTAAAAATTAAAATTCATCCAGATTAGCATTTGCAAAAAACCTTTAGTATAAAATTTCTTCCAAATGTATCACTTAAAAAGAATGCTAAATACCACTTTAGGAGGTGTAACTTCTTTTCAAATGGCATTTTTTCCTCTAAAAAGGAATTTCTTGGATTGATGAGAGGGGATGTTATGCATACACTGCTATTTCCAAGACATGGAGTTGCCTAGCAATCTTGGAATTTAAGAAGAGAAGAAAAGCAATAACAAAACAGAAATGTGAAATTACAAGACAGTGCAGCATTAAATTGGTTTGCAATACTTATCAAGATGCTGCTAAATGAGAAAAGATATAGGGTGTGCTGGGAGCATGACAACATCTGTTGATTGTTTTCAACTTTCTCCCTTCTCCTCTTTTGGACACACACTTTGACACAGTGGATTTCTTTACTCAGCTTTATTGCCTACCAAATACCTCGCGCTGCCTGCGGGCAGAGGCGAGTTTCAACCACCAGGCTGCAGGTGTTTCAGGGTTCACCCCGACAGGGATTTCCTGAAAGTGTTATGTTTCCCTGTTTCTCGTTCCCACTACAAATTACACCACGGAAATACAGAGAACTACTGTTCCCTTCAGAACTGTTGTTTTCCTTGCCTACGGTCAGTGTTTGATCAGGCCCTGTGCCTCCCCTTGAGAAGTTGGTGGTGCGTTTCCAGTTTGTTACCGTCCCGGTGTAGCACCTTCCACATCTACAGTCATTGTAATCCCCTTTCTCTCCCCACTCACACTACACCTCTTCTGCCAGCACCTGTACAGCCCTTCTCTGCCTGTCAGCTCTCTCCTTTTTTAGCCTCTTCCATCTACTGTTTTCCCTTCTGCATTTGCGGAAAGTGCTTCTCCCAAAGCCGTCCCTATGCGGTACCTCACCAGCAGACGTGAGCTGGCTTTATCGACACACCAAGCCAACCAAAATGTTGTCGCAGTAGCCCAGCAGACAGGGTTATGCTGACACACTGCGCGCCCCTACACGGCATGTCGGCTGTGCTCAGGGCAGAGCAGACATCCTCGTGCGACTCCGGAACCAGAGCCCGTTCCCACTCCGCTAGCTCGGTGCAAGCCCTTACCTGTAGCCTCATCCATGCTTTCCTCGGACACGTGCTCATTCTGATGGACCCATTCCCCGTTGCACTTGAAGAAAATCTGCATAGCTGGCATAGCTTTACAGCGTAAGACAATGGGGTTGCTTTTTATAATGTAGGCATCATCTGGTTCCTCCATAAAATGCGGCAGTGTTCCAGGAGCAGATGGGATCGACTCTGGAAGGGCTTCGCTGTTATCATTTCCTGAAAGGGAAGGAAAGGAAAATACACATTTTTCATGTTGTTGCAACCTTTGTATCATCGCATGCAACGGATTAAATGCCATTTTGGATTTTATTAAAAACTAACTTTGTTAGAGAAACACCTGCAGAACTCAGCAGGTATCAGGGTTGTGCTTTGCACGAATTTGACAAACACAAAAACCCAACAATTTAAGTTTAAGAACTGTCAAGAAAAATGACAGAAAAGAAGCATCCGACTCGTCAGAAAACTGCATCATCGCTGTTGCCAATTTTATAGGTGGGGAACCGAGGCACAGAAAGATTAAATGTGTCACCTAAGGTCACCCAGAAAGTCTGTGGGAGAAGCAGAAAGTAAACCTTATTCTCCTGAGTGACAGTCCAGTGCCTTAACCACCAAATCCTCCTTTCTTTCACTGAATCTCATTTCCTTTAGACAGTTGCTGCAGATTTAACAGGGATCAGAGTGTTAACCACAGAGAAATACATCGATATGAACGCATTACCGTAGCACTCCAGCAGTGGAATAAGCAAACTGTGATTTCATACCCACTTAGAGGAAATTTTCAGTATGCTTTTACACTGTTACTCCAGCCCCTTTAAGGTGATAGAAAAGTGGAAAAGTGGTTTCTGTAGGGCCAGAAATGCCAAGACAGTGAGCTTTCGCAGCTGGTATCAGACAGTAGGATCCAAGGGCAGTCGTTCAGCAAAGCATAAGCCTAGGTGTCTTATTTTCTGAATTCCTGTGCTTAGACATGAACATAGAAGCCCTGGAACAGAAGCTTTTCCTGTACTATAACTCTCCTAATTGAGTCAAATCCTAGTTGCTGCTGTCAAAATCTGGAAATTCCCATTGATTTTTAGCAACGCTGGGATTTATTTCAGTAGTTGTCAGTTTTGTGAGAAAAGTCAGAGAACAGCAACAAAAATAAGTCGGAAGGGATCAGTTCATGAAGGAGGATTAGAAAGTCCAGAACAGGTACAGCGTCGCCAGAGGATAACAGAGGAGAAGAGTCTGTATGCAGATGAAGAGTGTCAGAGGAAGAGGTGAGGGCAATGTGTGAGTTAACCAAAAACTATGAAACTAAGGTAGATAAAAGGTAAGCTATAATGATATAAAGTAAATCTAAAAACCTACACAGGTCTAAGATATTACGGAATAATGAGAACACACTTTCTCTTTATTTGTATTAAAAATAGGTATCTCAGCACAGCATATCTGTGTGTGCAAACACACACTCTGTATGTGCTGCGAGATCATTATGACTGTCAAACGAGCTCCGTGCTTTAAACTACACTCACAGTTTACTTTATAGAATATTACCATAATTTTTAGCATGTTACTATTGAACAGTTATGCCAATTTCCATCTTGTCAATCTTCAGTAATACTGCATCCCTGCAGGCTTTATTAAATCCATGCTTTATGGGAAATAACAAAAATGTCATTATAAGATTTTGGAGAGGCTTGGAAATCCCATGCTCCCGTCAACGCTCTGAGTGCCTCACAAGGCAGCAACACGCTTGTGCTGAGGAAGAATAGCGGGCAATTTAGAATGACACATTGTTGTTCCACTGAATTTGCTATTTAGGGCAAGACACAAAGGATGAAATCCCAGCCCCGCTGAAATTAAGGGCACAATTCTCCTCACGAGTGGCATCCGGATTTTATGACGTGGCGCTACATTCTGGTTAAGTATTGCTGATGAGCACCTGAAAACAAGGGATTCTACACCGCTTTGGGATGGCCATGGGTTTGTCCAGCCTGCCTCCCCTGCAGCCAAAGCCAGTGAAGCGCAGTCGTCGGTGCTGTGGCCGGCAGAGCGGGTTTGGGCTGTGGAAGCGGCTCACTCCTACAGAAAACATTTCACAGAGGGAGGTACGTCAAGGTGCATCTTTTCACTTAAACGTACGGGTACTCCGTTAAGCGCTCTTGAAAACCAAACAACGATCGCTACACAGAAGGAGGAACGATTTTTCTTTATCCTACCCCCAATGGATGCACAGATATTACTAGATTTTACATGCTGCACAAATGTAATTGCTTGAATTCACTGTTGTGTGACATTCTATAATCCAGACGAAATCAGCATCTGGCAAGAATTTACTTCACTGAGTACAGCTTCACACAACCACCAGGTAAGCAAAGCAACTCCTGTGTGAGGCTGGGCTGGAAGGAAACAGCGCCTCTAACAACATTCACAAAGGTTTTGTATTCCTTGCTTCTCCCCGATGGAGATGTCCCTTGTCTCCATACGGCCACCTACTCAGACAGGGACTGCTGTGACACCCATTTAATGAGTTCAGGCACCAGACGTTTGGCATCATAAATATTTTGTGTGAACTGTGATACACAGGACTTACTTCACTAGTCCCTTTATCATGCTGACTGTCACACATTATCATCTCAGGTAGAGTAAACACCCTTTTGCGTTTAAATGTCGCACCCTAACCCTAACTAACACGACATTTCCTGCCGTGCACACTGGAAAAAATGGTGATTAGACACGTTGCAGTGCCTACAGGTCCCTGGGACTGGACCAGGTATGATGATACTCAGAACAAGTGCTACTCTAACCGTGGCTACCGCAGGAATTTATCAGTGAATTGGGAACGCACTTGTTAAAAATGCTAAAAATGCCCATTTTTAACAACCTACGGATGCCAAGAGCGAGGTTAGATTAACAAATGAAGTTTATTTTTCCTTTCATTTCAAAACCCTCCCTTTTCTTTACCCCTACTTTATTTTCCATGCATCCTGCATCTTCTGCTAGCAAGGAGTCCTTCCCATCCCTGGAGTCTTTCCAGCTTTCATCTCACAGCAGTATGTTCTTACCAATCTGTGTGAGTAGTTTGTTGTGCTACAGAAAGGATAGACTCTCCAGAACTTCTCCCAGGGAAGGCTCCAAGTGCTTTACACCTCTTAAAACCACAGCATGAACTGGGATAACCTCAAAGTGTGGGGCGATGGATAAGCTCACGACAGAGCAGGGACACCCCGGAGGGATGGCAGCCGTGGGTGAGGCCACGCTGGAACCGTCCACCCCGAAGGCCCTTGGCTGTGGGTCAGTCGATGCCGCAGCAGGTACATCCTGGAGAGGCTGTGGCTCATCGATAAGGCTCTGCTTGGAGCAGGTACACCCCGAGGGACTGCAGCCTGGGGGTAGTCCAAGGCGGAGCAGGGGCAAGGGGGGGGTTCACTGCAATGTTAAACCCGACGGTCTGGTCCAAAGGGACTAGGGGTGTAGACTGTAATGGAAACACCTTTAAATTGTGTGTCCCACACTATAGGAATTACTGTAGCAGGAGCCACCTGATCCCATGGAGGAGAAGCCCGCCGGGCAGCAGCAGCCCGACCCAAGCTGGCTTTGGTGCCCAGTAACCACACAACACCACCCCTCCTGCCCTGAGTGCCCACCAGGACCCACGGAGCCCAAGGCCATGGGCTGTGAGCTCAACAGACATTTGTGGACATTTCTATCCATTCTGCAGACATTTCACAGGGGAGGGGCCCAGACTAAGGGATGGTATGAGTCTGCTACAAAGGATGGGAAGGGGGTGGTGGGCGAGCAGCTGCATGGGGCTCGGTAGCCGGTGGGGTTAAACCATGACAGAGGGGCACTACAGAATCCGAGCATCCCATAAAGACACCGTATTTACTTTTCTAGGAGTATGTGTAAACACACACACGATTAAATATGTAAATAACAGGAGCTGCCACAGACCTTAATCACATCAGTGCTAATTAGATAAACGAGGAAGATAATGCCTAGACGGGTGTTCTGACATTCTAAGCAGCAGATACTGCCCACTGTTAATCAGGTAGAACAAATCCCAGGGTCAAGTCATAAAGCCCCATTATTTACAAGGCTATAACCGATGTTACATAAATATACATGCATTTCAGGATAAATAATATTGTAGCTAACTACAGCAGCTGCTGACCAAAGCAAAGCCTCTCCTACAGTGCACTTAGTACTTGGGGTTTTTAACTTAATGCAACTTTCTTTTGTGCATCATCTTTGTTGTACCCTAACTTGTATTCAAATTCATCTGAAATCCTACTGGAACCTTGCAAGGGGTTTCATTTCAAGTTATTAAGGTTTTTCATTTATAACTGTCAGTTTTCAAGATTCAGCCATTCATAGTTATAGAAAAATGGCTGTTTTAATGCAACAGTGAATGACAGAAGACCAAACTATCAAACACAATTCTTGTATTTTTCACTCCTGGAAAATTACCTTTCAGGAAGTGCTTTGTGCTTTATGTTCTGCACACCAGTGCAATAGGGACTTTAAATCTTTTTATGACAATAATAGAAACAAAAAATAAAGGAGGGGGGAGAAAAAAAAAAAGATAAAAGTTAGGACCAAACACTAAATTCTTCTATGAAATAAATATACTGCTTAGTTGTCAGATCGTGCTAGAAAATCTTGATAGCAGCAGACATGAATCCTTCAGTATTCCAAAATTGACTGGAATATAATTTAGATGTTACAGTGAGATTTTGAAACAATGAAAAATCATGAGTTCTAAACTTGGGGTGGGCTTTGGATTTTTGGTGGGTTGGTTGGTTTTGGGGTTTTTTTTCCAAATTGAAAGCTATTTCAAATAGGTAACTAGCATTACTTTCTATATTTAAAAAAAAAAAATAAAAGGTCAGAAGTGTCCCAAACATGCCAAGTAAACTGCTGGGAATAAATATGAATAATCCCATTGTAACCATCACCCTCAGAAGATAACTACATCCTCTAATGCTACCCTTTAAGGCCCCTTCCAACCCAAACTGTTCTGTGACCAGAGCTGTGGACACTCACTTTCTTCCCTTTCCATGAACCACCTGCCGTCATTTTCTACAAAACTGAGTAACACCAACCATCTCCTACACGCACGCTCATTTTTATAGGAAAGCCAGGAGATGAAAAACTTTCAGAACACGTAACTGCCTTGTGTGTGGAATGGTGTTCATTATGAAATTTGAGTCATTATTCAGTCAGAAAAGCAACTTAGTGGGATTTGTCTACTTTTTTTTAACCAGATAACCCTGTCCCACATGCCACAACGTGGGGTTTTTGCAAGTCGTTCAGATATTGATGGAAATACGAGATTTTGTTGCCCACATGAAATCCTTTAATGCCTTTGTTGTTTCCGCTAGTACACGGATTTACTAAAGCCTAGAGGGACCTGGTATTTAGCAAAGACTGACAGTACAGGAGCAGTGAGAACAGTCAGCAATAAAGCACGCATGCTGATGAGTTTCGCTGCCACGTTCTTCTTTAAACCCTACTGAGGGGAGTGCAATTATTACTTATTCAGCACTCCTGGTAAATGGTACAGACCTGCTGCATGGAAAACCACCATGCAAGCTGCTGGTCCTCCTCTTCTCCAAACCCACACACTTCTCAACCAAATCAAGAAAAACTTCTTAAGACGAGGCACAGGCAAAGAACTAAATTTCACTTGAGTGGGAGTTAGAAAACTAATCTTTGATATTCTAAACCTCAGTTATGTCCTGTGTCGCTCGTAGTTATATACAATATGCTGGGGAAATGGACATCTCCTGGGGTGCCACCTCCTGGGATGCCACCTCCTGGGGAGGTGGAAGGTAAAAGGTGAATGAACAGACCCCTTCCAGCTCCTCCTGCTGCGCTGCCGAGACCTGCTGCACTGGCAGGGTCTGAGGTGAGGCCTGACCGAGCAAGCGAAGACCCACGTGCCGCAGGGACTGAGTGAGGCGCTTCCAAGGAGAGATGCTCCTTTGAACAAACGGGGGCACTGCTTAAACACCTCCCCTACACCTGTGATCGTTTCTGCATTTCCCATCTTCGCAGGCAGGGTCTCCTAGATGTTCAGCACACGTTGCAAGTCACAAGGGCTGTACGTACATCTCAGCAAGCCAACTTTGGATATCAGTATATTAGTTTCATCAGACCCTCTTGCTTCCTATGGATATAAAGTATAAACTTCCAGCAGCTGTACCATAATCCTTCTCATCAAATATTTGGTCGACAGGTGGAAAATTGTTCTGCCAGCTGAGGAAGACAAAATCCATTCCTCCTGGCAATTTTCTGCAATGAGAACTCCAAAAAAATGAATGTGCAATAAGTTGTGGAAATAAATCTAAAATATTATCACACAAAAGCAGTGTGCTCAGAATCTTTAGCTGCAAACTAACCCTGCTTATCTGAATTTTAAAGAATCTCATTCCTCCTTCTGTGTGCATTGGACTAGATATTAAGCTGGACGCTTCTACTTGAAACTACTAGTTATACACCTGGTTTTTCCGTTTTGCTTTGCTTTGAAATGCACTGTGACTTCTTTGATCATTACTTTTTTTTGCATGCACACATCAAGGAAGTCTGACAACAAATCCGGGCAGCACATATTAGCAATTGCGTTTTACGGAAGGGTAAAGCAGTCAGTCTAAAAGGGACAGAGTGAATAAGCACCAGCCGTGAAACGAGGAACCAAATGCCACAAGAGCCGTGTTCCAGTACTTCGTAAACCCATGCTCAGCCGCACAGGCTACTCCTCTGTAACCGAGAAGGCTTCGGATGACATTGTCTCCAGCTTATTAGCAGGAAAGGAGAGTGAAAGTCTATATATAATCATGGAAATAAGTTGTGCTAATAGGATTTAAAACTCAAGACAACTGTGAAGCATAACGCACATTTTTAAATGCCTGTTCATCTCCACTTTAACAGTCCTTTCCTACATAACTAACTTTATGTCTACGAAGCTGTAAAAGGTGAAATGCTTCTTCAACAGCGATAAAGCAGACACGTAAGAGAAAGGCCCAGTGTACGAGGCTACCCACAGACTCACAAGTGGTGAGTGGAAGTGTCTGGGGAATGACAGAACGACCTGCCACAGCTGTAAGCAACTGAGTGAGCCGCCTTCGGTGACTCACAGCTCCTCGGCCAAAACCCACGGTGCACACTACCGGTGCGTTCCAAGGCAAGACAGCATGTTGGTCTGAACCACCCAGTCTCAGACAGGGAGCACGCATGTCCCTCAGCTGGAACAGAGCACAAAAGCTCCACTTCCCTAAAACATTCTGATTTCTTGCATTTCTCTGAACAACCCCTTTTTTCCCCCACTTTATCACCCAAATGTCTTCTCGCACAGAATCCATTTGAGACACAACCGATGATGTCAACAACATTTTGCTGTGACAGTATTCTTTAAGGATATAAAGTACTGCTGCTTTAGTGAGCAGGACTTCTTCCACGGAGAGGACTTTGATGCTAACAGAAGTGAGGCCATTTCCTCATTCAGCACCTCTTCTTTCCCCGTTAACATCTTGTGAGCTATAGCTGAGGGCTGGGTACTTCCCTTAAAACTCACGGGCCTCGATTAGTCTCTACACACACGGCAGAAGGCACAATCTAGTTACGTGTATTTGTCTCTATAACACAGAGTAAGTTTAAAAGCATCACACCTTTATCCACAAAGCCTTAATTCTTCTCTGAGTCTTCATCAAACACCCCCCTAGAGAGTGCTTGTGCAGCTCTACAGAGAGCTACACCTGCGGGTGTGTGATAAGAGCAAACTGGTACCAGTTCTACAACTGACCACGTCACCTGCAGAGATCAGGAATGACAGCAGTCACCTCTCACCACATCCACCCACTCTTAACCCCGACCAGCTCACCTCACACTGCCCATCCCCGTGGGATTAGCGGGCAGTCTCAGCAGAGCACCCAAGGGCAGAATGGCATGTGGAGACCAGAACCCATTCATGCAGCTCGAGTGGGTTCTTTTTATAAAAAGAAAACAGAAAAGAAAAAACCTTTTCACTAGCACCACTTTCCCTCCAGAATTTAATTACTGGGCTGATGTTTTGCCCTGTCTTCAGCCATTTCATGAGAAACTCAATGAAATTTCAATGAAATTTGTGACTGTAACTTTCCATAAACCACATTGTTAATAGGTTGCAGGAGCGTAGGGCATTTATTTTCACCAATGAGGATTAATATGTTCATATAGCTTTAGTGGTCTTTTCTATGCCAACAGAGATGAATATGTTACCCTACTGTAATCCCTTATGTATTCTAAATCTATCTATATCTACGTCATACATATTTATAAAAGTGATATATTGCATTTATTAAATATTAAGTGGATTACAAACTTGAAGAATCTTTCATAAATTCATTCATACATTTATTTAACATCTAGATTTTTTCTTTAAGCAATATGCAAGGAATATAAATCTTTAAAGGCAAAAAGATTCTCCAAGCATTCTAAATAGAGGAGCGCAACAAAAAGTCTTCCAGCACACAATATGCAAAGAGTATCAAAGTAGAAGAGAAATACTTTAAAAATGCTATGAGAAAACATGTTGTAATACCAGACTTGTCCAGATAAAGAGAATTGAATGGACAATGACTGTGTCCTAGCAAACAGAACTGAAAAGACCGAGGCCTCCACAGATTACTGAACGACCTCAGAACACCCCTAGAATTCTCAGTATGTATCACATGCCAACAGCACCAGTTATACAAATTTTAACAACATCCTATTTATCAGGTGGTTATAGGGAGAGGGGGGGGAAGCTTTACTATCTTATTGTGCAGCCACACGTTTCCAGATGCTGCAGTAAAACCACCAGATGTGTCACCTTTGGGGCTGAACACCTTTGGGATCAAATTGCCTTGAAATTCAAGCTTGGCTGCTGCCTAGGATACTTGGCCTGTTTAAGGTGACAAGAAACGAGTCTGGAATATGTTAACCAGTATCATTTCACTAACTGGCATTCCATACGCCTCAAAGGGCTGACAGATATAATGGTTTCCATTAAAGAGTCACATACTGACTTAGGGTTTCTACACCATGGAACAGGTCTTGCAGGCAGCTGGAGAAAGTCACTACTACAGTTTAGCACAGGAGCACAAGAAAAAGCAGGGGATAAAGTGAGGGAAGGCTTCTCTGGAGTGCTCCGCTTGGATTTTCTGTGCATTTAGAGGATCTCCCACATTTACATTGAAAGCTATACACCTATTTCTTCAGTAGACTGGTCTTCGGCACAGAAAGGCAAATAAACTGTCTTGTAAAGTCTAAGTTTAAGGGGTTTTTCTAACCAAAGAACATTTTTAGAACCTTTCAATTAAATTTTCAGTTTATATATAAAAAAGTAGCTTTGAACTTCAAGTGCTTATGACCCAGAAAGGGAACTAATTAGAACCAAACTACAGCAAGGCTAAAAATGTTCATTTTGATCCTCAACAACAAGGATTCCACCTGTGAGAGTATTAGGAAAAAAACCACAATGATTATTTTACTAAAGATACTAAGAGTGCAGCAAATAAAATATGTAACTGCTTGGCTTCCTTTCAAGGATAACAACTAATTCACCAACTGAAAGTGAATGATGTTAGGTTAGAGGTAATGTGCTTATTAATGTAAAAGTCAAGGGGTAATGATCATGATGTAACTTGTTTTTAAATATCACCAACTCATTTTTATTAGGATCCAATCAGATATACACTAACAGCTTTAATCTGCTGCCGTCCTCCTATGTTCCCACCCCCCAAAGACCGAAAACTGCTTTAAAAACATGACAACTCATTCCTATTAGGATCCAGCAATTTGCAGAATATATTTTAGCCCAAATCCAATCAGATATACACTAACAGCTTTAATCTGCTGCCGTCCTCCTATGTTCCCACCCCCCAAAGACCGAAAACTGCTTTAAAAACATGAACAGAGAAATCTTCAGCTGCTATTACTGCTGGAAAGATACTCCACCTTGCTTGCTCTCCCTTGACTGCCAAGACTGTAATTATCATTTGGATCAGCTGCACCGCGATAGACCAAAGAGAGTAACTTCCATGGGAAAAACTAACCTGAAGGAAACTGAAAACTCCAATTTGTCCACCAATTGTGAGCGTAAACTAGGATTTCTCCCAAGTACAATTACTGACTTAACATATCTGCTTATCAAACCCCAGGCCAAAACACAGTACCTGCTGATGCAAGTACTTCCAGCTCAGCACCAAAGCAATAATAAATATAATTAATTCATACCCGGTTCATTGTTGCACCTGTGGTACAAAGCTTATTCTTAGCTACAGCAGCATTTTATTTACTGAATGAGCCACAGAGCTCTTTCCTCCACCTTAATTCACAAATCAATTGTCATTATTAAGGCTAACAGCGTTGATGTGCCCAACTACCAATTCCACTGCTGGAGGAGATGCTTACTGCAGAGCTATTCACTTTCTGCTTCAAACTGGACTACAGACAAATCTTCATTTTGTTTGCAAGCAAGGAATAAGGCTGCTGTACAACTGCTGATAATGTATTAAAAAAGAGGGGGCAAAAATAACCCACATATATGCCAAACTGCTCTGCTCTTAAAAGTACTGCAGTGTCAAAGCTGTTCTGCAGATAAATGTCAGTTTAATTTCTTTTGTAAATGTTGGAGGAGAAAAAAAACCCACCACCTTTCTTCCACCACCAAATGATAACGCATACAATTCCTGACAACAGATGTTGCATAAGAAAGCACGTCAACGGTTTTCTTGGCAGAACTTGTTTAGTGCTCTGCTTAAAACCTCAGCAGAAACTCTCCCCAGCCTGTCCATTTAAACTCCTCAAATCCCCACATTCCATAAAGGTATCAATGAAGTGATATTCTCAGATACTGAGGGCACATGTACATACACCGAAACACAGTTTTGTTCCTTCCAGCCTAAACTGAGAAAGCAAGCTCTTAAAAGACACGTCCTTTATTTTAATGCTAGTGCTTTTTGAGACCACTGCAGTGGTGCGTATGTCGAAACCCAATTTCAGTACGCTCAGTAGCCAAGAGTAAGACATCAAGGTATAATTTTCATCAACTGAGCCTTAAACCCCTAATGATCTAATTATATCTAAAGGATGCTGTAGTTATTTTTGCTTCTTCGGGTAACACAGATTTTATAAGAAAATAGGTAACGTTAGGTGTTAAAATACATTCCAACTACAACACACGGTGCACAATTTAGATTTAGTTTAGATGAGAAGAATATTAGATTTCCAAATTCCTATAAAATACAGAATAGCAAATGATATATTAGCTGTATTTGCAAGCATTTCCATTCCTTGCTGCACTTTAAACTAATTAAATGAATTAGATTTAATGATGGATCTTGATATTCTGAAACTTTATTTTCCTGTGATTCGGAAAAAAAACCAACAAACAAAAAAACCCAACTTTCTCTGCAGCAAAATACAGGTTTGGAAGCAAACATTTATAATGCTTTTTCGTACCAAAAAAAGGCATTTCAAATACTACCCAGTTTATAAAGGATTCGGTATGCCTCATAATGGGAAAGATCCAATTAACAGATATTTTCTACATATGTAGAGAGCCCTGAGTCATAGAGGGTTTATAGATCTTTCTGTAAATACCAATCAAAGCAACAAGTGACATTTACATTTTCAAGTATTTAACGTGTGTGTTTGTAGAAAACCAACATAATACAACAAAGGGAAGAAATGCAGCGAGTGAGCGATCTTTGTGCTTCCATGCCAAAGGATAAGCCTGCACTGGCTACTCATTTTAAATCCAGATACTTTTTCAAGGCATCCCCCTGCACTGTCACCCTCGGCCGCCAAGCACGTGACCCAACCCATCCGTGCCAGACCTGTGGCTCGAATTCTGAAACAGCAGTTGGGGTGAAAACCCCAAAGGAGAATCCAGAAACAAACACACACTCGCACATTCCTGCACGCCCGCTCCAAAGACATCAATCCACCAAGTCAGACATAACAGGAGGAAAGATTAGGCAAGACAAGGAAAAAACCAATAGGAAAACTGCTCTAGAAGGAACCCTGGACAGAGTCATCATTCACGTTTCAAATCAGCACAAGTTGCCTACATCCAGCTGTACCCGTGACGCGTGCTGCGAGTGAACACCGCCCCAGCTGCTCTCACAACCGGATTGGCTTGTCACATCCGCTTCTGCTGAAATGGCACCTTTCAAACGATACGCCTGGCAGTTTCTCCCCAAGCCCCAAAACAAATGGAACCCAATTAACCTGTGGTCTTTACTCTTATTACTTCCTACTGACTATGCCAACCTAACCCGGAGCTGAAGGCCTGGAGCCATTCCACACCTTCCTCTGGCTCCTAAGTATCATGGAAGCTCTTCTCTCAAGACAGACGCCCTTTCCATTCCCAAGCTTCCCAACAAGGGGGAACCAGTTAACCGGGTGAAAACCGGTGGCAGTAAATGCCAAGAGAACAGCTGTGCTTAGCACCTTGGATCACTGTTTTCAGACGATATCCTTAAACCCAGCCAGGTTTCACAGGTCCGGCTGAAAACAGCCTGTAGCCGTGTGAGCCAGCAGACTAAGCCAATATATCTGGAACATCACAGCCTGCAGTAAGCAGGTGTGCTCTGCGGATTCATGAATGACGGAAAAGAGTATTTTCAACTTTAAAACCTTCATGAATTTCAAGGTATGACTGGGGCTATTTTCCTACCCAATACAGCCTAAAATTTGCAACAGAACAGATTAAAATTTGCAATAGATATTAGTAAAAGAGCAGTCTCCATTGAATGTCTACTATTCATGCACACTGAAAATTAAGTAAGAAAAAGCTTATGAAACATCACTTTCACTCAGGATTCCAGACTCTTACGTATAAGAACAGTGGACATTAAAACAAACAAAAAACCAACAAAGCACACACAGGAAAGACATTACTGACAGAAAACATGAAAAAGATGCATTTATGAGAATACTGTGTGTTAGCAAGGCCCAGCCTTTCAGAATTAATTGCTATCCTAACCTCCGTGCAACTGAACTTCAATAGTAAAATACTCCAGCACGCTGTAAGATTATATACCTAGACCTGTGAGGCATTGCACGTTACTGATGTTACTGCACTTCTCAGAAGCGGTTTTCTGCACTACAACATGATAGCATTTCTGTAGTGCCCTCCAGTTAATTGTTTGAGCAAATTAATATTTTGCAATTCTTCTTCTTACAATCAGATAGCTTTTCCTGGAAGAATTCAAGCAAAGCTACACTACCTGAAACAGGGAGAGCAAAATCTTTTCTGTGTTCTCGACTGTGCCGATACTAAAGATCCTTGAAACAGAAAACCTGAAGTGTCACTTCTCAAGCACCACCACAATCAGGAAACACAGGTTAGAAATAGGTGACAGGTCCCCAGCCCAAGAAAGTCAAGTTTGTGAAGGATGGGCAACACAGCTCCAGTGCAAACGCCTCCTCTCCTCAGCTCACACAAACCACAGCGCGGACTGTACCCTCTGGACTGGGAGCAACAGGCTCGGAGATACGTACCGGGGCTGGGAGGGAAAGCACACCTCCCGGCACAGAGCTGCTCCCTTCCTCAACCGGATCCACTTACCAGGAGGTTCCTTCCCTGGGCCTTGACAGAAACAAGGGCCATTTCACCTTTTGGACTGGCCAACTCCAAAGCAAAACACGTTAAGCTTTTACAGAGACATCCACTAGCAGTAGAAAAGACGATCGAAGGCACTGCAGATCACAACTCTGGCAGAACTACTTCAGCATCTCCTACCACAACCAAATTTCAGCTATAACTTGGCACATAATTAATTTCTCATTCCGTTGCTTACCAATGTCTTCATTTTTCCCCCTCCCTTACACTCCCCTTTACTATGAATCAGTAGCGGTGTGATTCTGCCTGAGCTCTAACCCACCTCAGTTTTCTGCAACTTTTGCTACCTGGCAGAGCTATTGTCTTAATCACGAACTTAAACTGCCTGTTTATTCAGGCACCAGTGAGGGAAGAAACAAAAGAATCCCAAAACAAAGCAAAAGAGATAGAAAACAACAAAAAGTCCATTTGAAAATACTCGCTCAAGAGCCTCCTACGCCGAACGCCCCTACAGCTGACAGTTTTGTGCAGCACAAAAATTAATAAATTTTCAAAGCTTGACATTTTCCATCGGAATCGCTTGCTACTTAGCGAAAAATCTTTTCTACACCCCGCTCCACACCGCCTTTCAAGGAGAAGGGCGTTTTAGGCCATGGCTGCTTTGGTCACGTTGAAGACCTGTAAGGAGGCACTGGCTCTGCAGCAGGTTGTTCATGCTGCAAACACGCGCTGCTGGGCCACACTGGCCACCTGCGTTTGAACAGATTATCCGTTTACGTGCATCAACTGCATCCCCTTGTACTGAAACCTTGACAGCGGCACACAAACCCCTCGAAGTAATAAACCCCATCCACCCTTTTCCCCTTCCTGCCCTCAGATCAGTTAAAGGACTCACCAGCGTTACCCTTGCATGAATTTCTTTGTTCTCAACTCTGTCTACCCGTGTGGTGCCCAGAAGCTTTGCTAAACGCAGTACAACCTGATCTTTTACAGTGCAGAATGCCCTACAGCGAAGCCTACAGCTGGCCACCCTTTGACGCAAGCTCTGGAATCGCCACCATTCCCTGACGCCAACATTCCCTGCCATCTGGGCATGGCAGCATCAGCCCTTCTGCAAGTGCCACCCTGAGATCGTACCTCATTTTCCTCTAAGCAAAACTGGGAGAAACTTTGGGGTGGGGTTTTTCGTTGATTTTTAAAAGAATATTTTGCTTTTTATTTTTCTGGATTCCACGAAATTAGAACTTTGTCTGCTATTGCTCAATTAACAACCCGTATTTCCTATCTGCATGGGAAAGGAAACGCCATGACCCAAGCAGTTTTTCTTGCAGATCAAAGGGAAAGAAACCACAGAGCAGTGATTTTACTTAAGGTTTGGTAAGGACAATGCAGTCTCTTCAGATTCCAATTCACAGTGCAATTTTTCTAAACTATACTTCTCCAACAATGCAGGACATTACGTTCTTCGTCATAACTTATTCTAAAATTGCTGGTAAATTTTATGTTGAACAAGCCAAATGACTAAATCAACAAAGGACTCACTGTCCCGGGTTATTCATGCCATTATCAGCTGGACTATTCCAGTTTGGAAGTGGAGGCTTCTTGATGGTTTGAGAGGCAGTGTCGTTACCTGTAACGCGACCC